GAAAATTTTCTGGATTTAAAGGCTACTTTAGAGAATTGTTTGCCTCATATCCGTTATTTTCAAATGTCTGGTGATGATATTTTTAATAACGTACAACCATATCAACCAATTTTTGAAAAAAAGCTTTGGAAAGACATAACAAGAAAGTTTATGACAAATCAACCAGTATTATCAACTGTTCTTCCTCCTCGCTTAATTTTAACACCAACATTACCTACAAGAATTACTGAACCATTTTCAGCAGTTATTAGTGATGCACATGCAGCTAAAATTGCTTCATGGATTGATAAAAAAGCCAAAACGTATTCTGCAACAAATAATCCATACGAATTTAAATTACTTCTTCGTGGAACCAGAGATGGTTTTACTGCTGACTCATTTTGGAACTTATGTGATAAGAAAACACACCTTGTTGTAGTTATGAAGGTTAAAGGTACTGATGAAATTCTTGGTGGATATAATCCTGTCGGATGGAGTAAACCAGTGATTGGAGTTGATTCCTATAAGAATTGCAATGATAGCTTTATTTTTTCATTGAAGAATGGTACTATTCAAAATTCCATTTTGAGCCGTGTAAAAAAAAACAGAATATGCAATTTACTGTGATTCTGAAGGTGGCCCAGTTTTTGGTATTGGTATGCTTACTATGATTGATAATTTTAATCAAGAAGAAAATTGTTGTTGTTGTCGTGATGAAGTTTCAATATATGAAAGAGCAATTAGAAATGAATCTACATACGAAAGCAATGAATCATTTTTTTCAGTAGAAGAATATGAAATATTTCAAATTAATAAAACATCCTAAATTTTATGCCTTTACCAAGATTATGAATAAACAATCAAATTTATTAAAAATTAAAACACTACTATCATTCCAATATAAAAATGGTGACATTCACTTCACTGTTTGAAAAATTAAAGGTAAAATTTTTCAACTACTATTTTATATTTATATTTTGGATCATATTATTAATTTTGAACATAAACATGAGAAATTATCAAGGGGCGAGTTACTTTTTAGCGAATGTTAATGGGCTAGGAGACTATAAATTTTTTTCATTTTCCCGTTTTAGGGTTACTGGCAAAGTGAATAACAAGTTCTTTATGTGAAAACTTTCCGGTTAAATGGTTAATAGATATTTTATAATTAACATGTCTGCAATTTTTTGTAAGGATGTCATTAGCGTTGCCGATTTAATTAAAATAATTTTGTTTTATAGAATTTAAAATCCCAAACAAAAAATATTTTTGTGATTTTAATAATTTTTGCATTATTTACAAAGCCGATAGCATCGTGTAATATGCATAAGAATTTATTTGAACAACGCATTATAAAGTATTACATTTACGTATTAAATATTATATTTTATAATTATAAATCGCTTTTTGTTCGCTTGTAATCAATAATACTATCTGAAAGAAACTCTTACAGGACGTCCATAGCTTCAATATTTGAACAATAGTTATGCTACAATCACTAATAACATTATTGTTATACTGTATAATGTCGGAGGATGGTGCTGAAATCGGATGAAGCTGAAATTTTGATTTACTTTATTATGAAATTTTAAAATTTTTTTTGGATGTTTTGTTCAGCTTTTTTTTTATAGTTAGATTAGAATTTAGGTTTAGTGCTTATAATAAAAGAGTATATTTGGATTTTAGTAGGGTTTATATTTTTAAATTAAGCTCAACATCCGATTTCAGATATAAAATAATTCAAACTTTTTCTATTGGACGACCTACACTTCTTCATTTTAGTATTCTATTTTGGTTTTCTGAATATGTTCAGTTTGAGATGATTTAAATTTTATAGATTAATTCATTGAAGTTCGAGATTTCAATATAAAGATAATTTACTGTATTATGGATAGTTTAATATCAATGATCTATTTTGCAAATTATTTTAGCGTTTAAATTCAATTAAGTTGCATCGCGCTAGATGTTGCCCTACTTGCCCTGTTTAAGACCCGAATCAATTAAACTCGAGTTTTTAGTCACATGATGTCATTACTAAGTTTAAACTCAAAACGAATTCGATATTGATGCTTGATTGGTAGTTTTTAATACAGTAGCTTAAACTTTTTAATTATTATCGCTATGACAAACAATCGGCAATATGGCATTACGTCAATATGACGAAAATTAATTTTCTTTGACTTATTATTTTTATTCTGGGCTCTCGAGAATGGCACGAGACTATTTCATCGTACATAACCAAGCGTACTAAGCGAGGAAACGTTTTCGAAAGCAAAAAATACAATCAACCAATATATAATCGATTATCTGAAGATCAAGCCTCTGTTTAAAGACATGGTATGATTCGGATGTTATTGCTTTAATAAATTTGGTATAATTGATTGCTTAGGAAAATAAATAAGCCATAATGATTGATACAATAAACATTATAATACAAAATTTCATTTTTGAAATGTAATTTCATGAATTTGCTTTAATAAATAGTAATTACGATAGCAAATTTTACTAACTTGATGCACAAGTATAATTATTAGTATTAATACATGAACTGAGTTCGAGAATCGGTTCTATGCATATGCTTTGAACCAGCGTTCCAACGGGTTTTAAGCACAAACAAACTAGTTGGAGCAGGGTTACATTCTAGTGTCTGATAACGGGAATGGGCATGAGTTCGAAAATCATAACTTCTAAAAATAACACGTGCGGTTTAAAAATGACGCCAATGCGCGTCCGAAATAACGCGCATCTCAAGCAATAAATCTATGTCACAAGTACATATTGTAATTTATTTTAATATAAAGGAGGTATTATATCTTTTAATTGTAATTATTTATAGTCTAAAATTAGTTTTTAATTTCAAAATGCGCGTACTTGAAATAACGTGGAAGATGTAGTTATTATGCGATTATGTTTATATGGTATGGAATTTTTAACAAAATGCAATTAATTAAAGCAGCAGTAAAAAAAAATTAGAATTTATTAATTAAAGCATATCAAACACAAGACAATAACTATTCAATTAAAAACCATGATTACGAAAAAGTTTAAAGAAATAAAAAGCAAGCATGAAATTAATATAAAAAACAAGCATAAAATTAATCAATAAAAAAACCTTGACTCAACTATTAAACGAAACAAGTATCAAATCTAATACTCATTAAATTGATCAATAAAAAAATTTCTGGCGCAACATTAATAACCATCATAAAATTGATAAATATTAATCAATAAAAAAATCTTTGATCCAACTATTAATAAACAAATAATGATCATCATAAAATTGAAGACTATTAATCAATAAAAAAAACTTTGATCCAACTATTAAACGAAACAAATAAACTACAAATCTAATCATCATAAAATTGAGGACTAATACTTTTAGCCCAATTAACAGCTTCTTTGCAATAATTACCCCATAATTCAACAATTTCGAGCATCGGAAAATCAGCATTGATTAGAAGTTTGGCCTTATCAACAGTCAATCCACTGCACAATAAAATTTTCAATTCAACCAAACCTTTACATTGAGCGATTTCTTGAATAAGATTATTCTTCTTAAAATTACAATGACGAATCACGATTGTGGTTAAAGAATGAATATGATTAGCGATTGATGGTAACTTCTCTTCTTGTTGATCATGTCGATAGAGCACTTTAAGTTTAAATGTACGAAGATCTTTGAATTTAGAGAGAACTTTTGTAATAATTTTTGCATCAGAATCGTCGATAGATCTTAATCGAAATTTCAAATGTCTCTATAAAAAATTATAATAAATTTAAAATAATTAATAATTAAATAATTAATGCGGTAATAATTATGAAATAATGATATAATAATGATGATGATAATAATAATAATTATGCAATATATGAAAATAATAGGACAAAATTTTATACATACCACATTAGGACAAGAATCAGAAATCCATGAGAATACGTTATATAACGAACAAAAATCAATACAGAAGTTTATTGTCTTGATAGGTTCCAAGAAATTACCGTCCCTAACATGACTAAATTGTTTATAATCTTTTGGTTCAAGGAAGTGTCCACAACCGAAATGATCAGCGATAGTTAAATAATTCACACGTTTAGATCGATTATAAATAAGGTTTAACACATGAGCATGAAGAATGCCTTCCAATGCCGGATTATCATTGAAATAAAATAGTTGAGTTCTTGAATCAGGTGAAGCATAAATTATGTGAACTTCTTCAAGATTTTCCAATTTTCTTGCTGCTTCTTTAATTGAATTGACAAGCATCCAGTAATTAAAATGTTTCAAAAATTTAACATAATCAAAAGTTGGAGTTTTGAAGAGTGATTTTTTATCAGCAGGGATTTGAGACAAAAACTTTTGTTTTGCGTTCCTTTCAAGACTACCCAAGTAAATAAAAATAACTTCAGGATAATGTTCTTTATCATCGGTGGTGTAACGGAAAGGATCAGACCAAAGTACTGGAACGGCTGCTCGACACCATAATCTGTTAACTTGAATACAAGCGTATAAAGATTTTTGGTCTTTTGAGAGATTGTCAATAACCAATGGTAAAATATGACAATGCATGATTGAAGAGAATATGTAGAATATGTGTATTTGGATAAAGACGAAAAAATTAAATTTATGATTTTATAACGTCTTTTATATCAGTATCTAAAAATGAAACAGAAACACGTGAATTAACCAATCATGTTTTTTAAAATCGCGATCTAGAGCTAGATCAAAATAAGACAGCACTAGTATTTTCGCGAATAACACATAAAAAAAATAGCCAATCAAAGTATCCCGGATCAGCCCGAACAGGTTTATTAAAAAAATTTTGCGTATCGTATTTGATATATCAAATATTATCGATATACCGATACCGAAATACTTGTATAATACTATTAAATTAAATACACAAATAAAATCTATGGATGGTTGATGAATAAATTATCTGACGTTGAGTATTATAGGCAAGGGTAACTTCATTTTTTTGTTATTCGTGCTTTTAGCTTACTGTTATCTGTCCGGTCTCCATAAACAGTGACTTTAATTGGGATTTGGTTATTGAGTTAAGCTTGTTCATATAATAATATGTAATTTACAAACAATAACTGATATTGCATGAATGTCATTTCCAATTTCTTAATATATAACACAATTGGAACAAACGACATGCAGGAACGGCATTTCCTACATTTGGACTTTGTTCAAAATATTCGAGTGAAGTCGGCTAAAGGACTGGGTTCGGCAAACATTTTAACCTTACTTTCTGTCAAATATGTATTCAGTCGTTATAATATCAGATTATGTATACGATCTGTCGTTATTGTAGTCACCTAAGGGTTGGTTAAGAAGACTCGAAGAATTTACAAATTATACGATATTATGTTCTAAACTTTGAGAATGTGGTTACTATGGCAAAGTTAATGCATCTGCTAATGAAGTTTTTTTTTTTTTGGAATCTTTTAAATGAATGCAAATTTAACTTTGCCTTATAATCATGATGTGAAAAAACATTATGCTGCACATAAATCATACGATATTACTTAGATGGTTATAATTTTTAATTTCGTGAAGGTACGTATGTATGTAAATCGACGATCCTTTTTTCTTTTTATAATACGCTTTTAAATATTTTTTCCATGTGGCTTTTAATTTTTCTTTAGTTAAAAAATTGTCTTACGCTTAAAACGGGATTTCTTATTAAGCAAATCGAATGTCATCCCGTTAAGTATATAAAGTTATTCGAAATGTTATCCTTTACATACCTTTTTAAATTTTTCGCAACATGAATAACATTTTATTGATGTTTTTTTTTGTTATACTCTTTGACGCAGAATTTAATTTTCTATGCCAAAGCGTATCCCTTAATCCGTATTCTGCCCTGATTTTCAGATTCCCGGCAGATATCTCACGCTACCATTAAAATTTACTAAATGTACCCTCCCTCATGTTTGTGGCACAATGCACACAAACATAACCGCTACACCAATATTTATGTATCTTTGCCGCAAATAAAAAATAAT